GGAGGAGGAGAGGGAGGAAGAGGGGGATAATCTGCAGGCAGCCAACGACGGCAGTAATCTGTCCCGAAGGTGTGCCGATTTTCCGAGAGTTTGTTTGGTACGACGGAAAGTATGGCAGTATATGTACAACGCCGATTTCACGGTGTGGGGGAGCACGGACGAGCAGAGAGAAAAAGCAGGGGAGGGGACGGTGGAGAGGAGAAGGGCGAAGACGAGGAGGAGGAGAAGGAGGAGGATGAGGAGAAGGAGGATGTGGATGATGATGAAGATGATGAGGAGGATGAGGGGAGGAGGAGGAGTTAGAGGAGGAACAGGAGGAGGAGGTGGGGTTGAGAGCTCCAGATGTTACTTCGGGTTCCCCCTTTTGAGCCGTCTCGGGGTTCTCTTGGGCTCCGCTCGGATGCATTCGATTTTGTTGTTAGGGGGATCTTGGGGGTTTTGCGGGCCCTTAGGTCGCTTATGAGAAAGTACGATTGGGTGTGCGGAACTATTTCAAATACTGGCGCATCTATGTTTTTTCATCTTGGACTGCTTAGGCGGGCCCCCAGGTTCTCCAACACGGCCAACGAGGCCCCCCTTGGGGTCATCTAAGAACATGCTGGAGGTCGAGTCTGGCGGCCACGCTCCCAGGGCGTCGGGAAAAGCTACGTGGGCAGTCCCCGGATCGCCCAATTTCGCTCGGAACACGGGGTCTTGGTTTCTTATTAGAGAGCTCGAAGGGACCTGAGGACACTCCACTCACTGCCTACGTTACATTGGTGGACTTTGCGACGCCAGCGCCAGTGCTGCATGGCTTGCTTTGGAGAGGACAGCACCAATATCATCAATAGCTCGTTATGCGGGCAAACTGTGAGCATTCTGTCCTCAACCGCGTTCCGGCCTCAGCTGCGGCTGGGGCGAAGCAGCAGCTTTGCGCAGTGGTGGAGGGCATGTGCTGGGGTCTTCCTTGCCAAACTCCCGCGATCTATCCATCCCGCTCTTACCATCTGTGCCTTTCTGTGGCTAGCCTGCCAGGTGGCGAAGGAAGGCCTCGCCAAGTTCCAGGACAGCGGTGACAAGAGGGGACAGGCCTAGAGGGGGGCGCGCCAGCGCAAGATCAAGGATTCGTTGCAAGTATGCGGGGGAGCACGCGGAAGGAGGGGAAGGGGGATCTTCAGGTGCCCCTGTCTTGGGCCTCCCTCACCACCACACCTCCTCATGCACCCGATCGAGCTGCTGGCCCATTCGCCCAGCAAGGCCAAGGGTAAGTAAGTGGGGAATGGGGTCTGAGGAGGATGGAGAATGGGGTTCGTTGGAGTAGAGGCTCGACGAGCTCGATCTTTGGAGAAGGGGCTCTTTGGAGTCACTGCCGTCTTGGACCCCCCATGGCGATGATTTGGGCTCTCGTTGTGCTGCTGCGACCGGTGTCTTCTGTGCCACCGAGTGTTTCAGAGGGATCGGGGGCAACGATAGGGGGGGATAGGCATAGGGGAGGATGCATTGACCCCCGATCGCCCATTGATCGCCGATAGGGGCCCGATAGCCCCAACCTGCACAGGAAGGTGCGACTCACTATCGGGGGCCTATCGCCGATCTATTGGCGATGTATCGCCGATTCCAGGTCGATGCAGCCCCCCTATGCCTATCCCCCCTTATCGTTGCCCCTCATGGGAGGAGAGAGGCCCAGCCTGGATGGACCCTGGGAAGCAGAGGGTGACGTTCTGAGAGCTCCACAGAGGCGGCTGCCAGCTGCGCGAGTGAATTTTTTCCCTGGGGCTTCCCGGATCTCCCTGGCCTGCCCGCCATCTTGTGGAGTTGGACGGCTGAACATTAAGCGAGAGGTTTTCACTCCTCCGTTGCTTCGAGGGAGCTCGATCTTCCCATAGGGAGCTGCACCGAAGGCCTCAGTGGCAGCGCCCGCATGGCACCAATGGCGCCCGTTTCGGCACACCCCTCACAAGCTTCGGGGCCCCTTAGGGAGCTCCACCGAAGGCCTCAAGGGCAGCACCCGCATGGCACCACCGCGCCCGTTTGGGCACACCCCTCACACGTTTCGGGCCCGTACAAGGGGATTTTCGACGAAAAATAAAAAATACCCTAAACATAATCATACCATAGTCCGGAAATAGTATGGGGACTATTTTTTGAATATTCTTTGACATTTTTGGAGTATTGTTGGGGTAATTTTTATTCTTCATCGAAAATCCCCCTGTAGGGGGACAGGCCCGACACAAGGCTAGGACGAGGATACATCCGTTCAGGAACGCTCCGAGGAGGCCTCGGCGCCGGACGCATCCTCCAGAGCCGCCAGATCTCGGAGATTCTCGATCCACCCGCGCCCGATGTTATCCTCGTCCTGGCTTCGTCTTCGTAGCTTGTGTTGCCAAACTGCAATCGCGGCCATCTCCCGCGGTCATGTTGGGTGCTGCTCCCCTGGGTCTTCTCCTCTGCCGCCTTCTGCTGGATCTGGGCTGACGCATCTCAGTTGTGGAAGGTTCTCCTGTCTGCATGTTTCCACACCCTGGATGCGCGTTCTGGCGTCGCGACTTTGATTCGCCGTCAGGCTTTTCCGCTGGACTTATGTCCCCAGTCAGTTTGTGTTACCCGTTAGACTCCCTGGATCGACGTCCTCGGGAACGTTCCTACCTGTTCGCATCTGAACTGCTGGGAACGCCTCACGCGCCATTTTGGCTGCGCTCGGTCTCCTCGGTGCCTGTCTTCAGACTCCCTGGATGCACCGTTGCATGTCTCGTTCAGGGGCTGTTCTGCAGACTCCCTGGATTGCACGCTGGCTCTGCCGGCTGGGCGCTGCCCCCCCCCCGCCGCCTGATCCGCGGCCCCCGCGCGCGCTCGGCAATTTAGTCGCGGCCGTAGCCCGCCCGCGACCGCCCGCCGCTGGCGCTTCCGCCTGCGGCTGTAAAAAAAAGAAGTATCTCCACTAGCTCTAGGCCTCCCAAACGGGGTCCGAGCAGATAGGGTCGACGAATCGCGCCGCATCGCCGATGCATCGGTGGAGCCCCATTTTCTCCACGCCCGGGGCGCCAGAGCATCGCCGACGTCGCCGATGCATCGCCAATGCATCGGCGATGCATCGCCGATGCATCGGCGGTGCGGCGCTATCCTATCTTCTGACCCCGTCCACTCAGACCCCATGTGGGAGGCCTCTGCAGGCAGCGCGCATGGTTAGGTTGAGTGACATTCCCAAACGGTACCGTTGCATCCTTGCTTATTCGGCCTGCAGTCGAGGTCAAGGGTACCATTGTGTCCTGTGTTTCCCGACGCATGCCTTCTACATTCCTGTGGCAACGTTGCCCTCGGAAGGATCCTGCGTCCTCCCGCGTGCCCCTTCCTAGTCCGCCCCGATCCGATTCCGTCGGGCAATCCCGATCCCAACTCACTGCAGCGCGGGCGTCCGGGGGGGCCTTGCCGCCTGAGCGCGCGCCCTCACCGTGCGCGTGGACCGCGCCAGCCCGCCCGTGAGACCCGGGGCTCCCTCGCCCCCGGGAGGCTCGGGCGTGCGCCCCCGGGCCGCCGGGGGCGGCGGCGGGGGGCCGACCCCTGCCGGGCGCGGCCCCCGCCCCGCCGCGCGGCCGCGGCCGGGCGGCGGCGAGCGGGGCCTCGGGGGCTCGTGCGAGCGAGCGAGCGAGCTGGTGCTCTGAAGGCCTCCCAGGCGGGGTCGGAGCAGACGGGGCCGGAGGGTGGCGTCGCATCGTCGACGCATCGCCGATGTGAAGCCCGTGCTTTTCCACGCCGACGTCGCCGATGCATCGGCGATGCATCGCCGATGCATCGCCGATGCATCGGCGATGCGTTGGCGTTGCGGCGCGATCCTCCGACCCCATCTGCTCGGGCCCCATCTAGGAGGCCTCTAGGTGCGCCGTTCACGATCGGAGAATAAACAACAGCATAAACATGCGTTTTCGACGCCCCGCGCGGGATTTCTTGGACCTGCGACGGGCCCCGCCGGCGGCTCCTCCGGCGGCGCCTCCGGCGTCGTCCCTGGTGCGTTCCGCGCGCGCCATGAAGAGGGGCCCCGTGCAGGGCCAGGAGTTTCGCGCGGACCGTCTAAAGTTTCTGCTTATGCAGTTTCTTTTTCCTCTACACGAGCTCGCCAGTCCACGGCGTGATGGGTCAGCATCGTTCCAGTCCCCATCCCCACTGGGCCATGGTGTCTCAGCCCCGCCAGCCAAACCCTCAAGGTGGGGATAGGCCGCGCGAAAGCCGAAAGGAGCAGCAAGGCCGACGACGAGGCCATGGTTTAAAGATGGGAACACACGGCATGAGCACACGGTGGTCAACACGGAAGCTTCAGAGCGGGCCTCACAGGTGCTAGAGATGGACCACCCCTCTTCACCTGCTTCCGTCAGCCCGCCGACGCCCAGGGTGTCCGAAAACTCGTTGGGCAGACGATATCAAACAGCTTATGCAGACAGCCACCGGCCACGACAATGTGCCACACATTGCAAAGTCACCACTGTTGGATACGTTAGAGGACGACTGCATCGACAAGTGAGTGGGCTCAGGCCCCCCCGAGCAGCTCCCTTGCGAAGCCATACGCCAGCACCCGTCCGTCCGTCCATATACCCTCATCTAGGGGAGTAGATCGGTCATTGGGGCCAAGGCCATGCCTCTGGGAACGGGGACAGCTCAAACGATGCCCAGTGAGCGGATCCGTGGCGAGGGCTATGCCTGGGCAGCCGCCTTGGAGGTCCTGGTCGGCAACGGGCTCATCCTAGCCTACGTCGGGGGCGACGTGTACGACGACGGTGACGTGGACGAGGCGCTCAAGGCTGCACCGCTGTGGTCCCTCTCTTCCCTCGAGGCTGTGTTTTATATCCGTAAGGGTTTCGCCATGACAGGAGGTGTCGGAGCTCTCTATCACCATGGGAGGTGTTGGAGCTGTGCTGGGACGCTTCGGCGCCGCACTGAAAAAACTTTGTGGGCATCACGCGAGGACGACTGGCATTCAGCAAGCTCTTTGGGATGTTTTGCTTTCTTCCACGGGAGCGAAGCTGGCGTAACTTACGAGAGCACCTGGCCTCGGGAGCGCGAATCTGGGGTAATCGATGCAGGGATTCTGGCCTCGGGAGCGCGACACCTGCCTAAGGTATGAAGGGAGTCTGGCCTCGGGAGCATACATCTGGTGTAATTCAAAAAAAGGCTTCGGGCCTCGGGAACGTCGTTCCGGCGTAATTTACAACGGATCTTTGTTTCGGGGGCGCGAATTGTAAATCATTTACGTGTGGTAATCCCAAAGGCTTACGCCACTCCGCCGACCCCCAGAAGAGGGAAGAAGTCCACCGTGAGGCCTTTGGGGGGCCTTTTGGAGACCGTTTGGTCGCCTCTGGGGCCTCTTTTGGCGCCTTGGGGGCCTCTGGAGGCTTTTTTTGGGGCTCTTAGGCGCCTGCTCGCGGTCTCGGGGGCCCTTTAGGAGCGGAGGGTTCGAGATTTCAGTTTCGGTTACCCCTCTCGGGCCCCTCCTGAGCCCTGTTGGGGCTCCCCTGTGGGGCGTCTCGGGCGCCTCTTGGGCCGTCTTGTGGCCCGCTTGGGCCGTCTTGGGGCTCTCTCTAGGGCTGCTTGGGCCGTCTTTGAGCAATCTTGGGGGCTTCTTGAGCCGTCTTGAACGGTGTTTAGACTAACAATGCAAATATGCTGAACATATACGTTTTCCTTCTTGGGAATTTGACGATTTTCGCTTCGTGGGGCCCTTTTGGGGGTCCTCTTGGAACCTTCTTGGGGAGTCTTGGAGGCTTCTTGGGCCGTCTTGAGGCCATATTAGGTGTTCTTGAGGCCTTCTCGGCGTGTTCGAGCCTAACTTGAGCCAGCTTAGATTGCATCTTGGGCGTCTTGGAGGGCACGGAGTGTAGATTTCGAAGCTCCTGAGGCCGCCAGAGGCCCCAAGGGTGCGTCCACGAGCTCGTCTCCCCCCCCCCCCCCCCCTCAAACGGCAGCTTGGACCCCTGAGAAGGGGGAAACGGGGATGGGGGACAGCCGATTATCTCACACGCCTTCTCACCACTGGCAGGTGGGGGCCGGCGGATTGCATCCAGGGTGCGAGATCTCAGGTATTCTCCAGCCATCCTGCAGTGTTGGGTCCTCGTTTTGAACCAGCAGCTCCCCGCGTCCTCTCCCTGTCCTCCCAGTCCTCCTCCTCCTCCTCCTCCTCCTCCTCCTCCTGCTCGTGCCCCTGCCCTGGCACACGCCTGCCACGCTTGTCAAGTCCCATAAGGGGCTCCACAGAAGGCCGACAGGTGAAAGTTTGCATGCAGTCATGGGCACATCACGCTCGTCCCTTCCACGCTTGTCGAGCCCCATAAGAGCCTCACAGAAGGCCGACATGAAAAAGTTCGCATGCAGTCGCGGGCTGATTTCGCTCGCCCCTGCCCTGTCTCCAAGACCCAGAGGATCCTCACAGAAGACCGACATGAAAACGTTCGCATGCAGTCGTGGGCTCATTTCGCCCGCCCCTGCCACGCTTTTCAAGTCCCATAGGAGCTCCACAGAAGGCCAACATGACAAATCCCGCTTGCCGTCATGGGCTGAGTTCATCATTTCGCTCGCCCCTGGCCGCGCTCACCACGCTAGCCACCGACACGTTTTTCAGGCCCCATCGGGAGCTCCACGGAAGGCCTACATGGCAAAGTTCGTATGCCTGACCTGGCGACGGTTCCGCCTTCAGTTCGGTACTTATCACACGTGTCGTGGCCCCATGCGGAGCTTCCCCTCCTTCGGCCCACCTGCCTTGCGGAACTCTCAACTGCATATGGTTGGGCCTTTCGCCAGGGTAATCTTACGTGTCGCAGGGCCTCTCCGAATTTTTTAGCCCGCGACTCGTGCGTTGTGTCCAGGGCTGCTTGCGTCCCCCCTCGCGCGGACAACAACAATTTACAGTAGGAGGCAGGCAGTAATACTAGAACGTTGCAAAGTGTCAAATGGAACTAGTGCAGGGCGCAGGAAATCTCATCCGCGCAGCCTGGTGGCCCCACGAGGGGGCCAGCGGATTCGGTGAACCCGTACCGTCCGTGACGTGGGGTCGCCCCACGCCTCCCCTCTCCCCGTAACGGTATCCCCCGGTGGGGTGCCAGTTCCCCCACAGCGCACGGCGCGGTGTTGACAGGCATGATGTGGTTTTGACATGCGTGCTCTGGTGCTCACGGGCGTGCTGTGGCGCTCGCAGGCCTTTCCGCCCCTCCCCCTCTGCAGCGGACGTTACGCAGGGGGGGGGAATACAAACAGTCTACTCGTCTGCGCCGCGGGGGAAGTGTGCCTGCCGCCCAGCGGCATGAGAGCGAGGCAGGAAGGGACAAGGGGAGCAGTGGGAGAGGGGATGGGAGGCGAGGGGGCGGGATAGGAGAAGTGCACGAGAGATGGGGGCCGTGGCGATGTGATGGGGAGGGGAAAGGGACGGGGTGGAGTGGAGGGGTAATTAGGAGGAGGAGGAGGAGGAGGAAGAGGAGGAGGAGGAGGAGGAGGAGGAGGAGGAGGAGGAGGAGGCGGAGGAGGAGGAGGAGGAGGAGGAGGAGGGGTGGAGCAGATGGTCGACTCGACGCAGGTGGGGGAAGATTTGGATTCGCGGCGTGTTCATAGCTGGCGATAGTAGCCTCGTTCGAGGCTCTTGGCCATAATGCGAGCTTCAGCCCGTGAAAAGGGCGATGAGCTTGAGCAGGTCAGACTTGTCCCGTATGGACTTCTTGGAGGTCATTTCGTGAAATTCGCGAAGCGGCAGTAGCTTTGTAGCCACCTGGGTGTTGCCTTCAGCTGGGTTCGAGTGATGACACTTTTGGATCCGCCTCCCATGCCAGCCGACGACGACGCCACCTGTCATTCTCGTCCCTCTGATGTCTATCCCTCCGCATCCGCCTCGCCGTCGTAGGGGGCTGTCCCTTGTTCTGATACTTGCCCTCGTTTCCTCTGTCCGTTGCCGATGTTGCAAATCCTCGTCGTGGTCCTGTTCTTCTCTTCCACTTGTCTCCTCCACTCCAGAGAGGCCTTCTGAAGGCCTCCCCGGGGAGCGCCTCGAGAGTTCCTTGGACACCTAGAGCTACCTGGCTAAACACACGAAATTTCTTTCGGGATGACTCCGACTCAATTTCTTGTTTAGTCCGCCTCAGATTGTGGCACTGGGCAGCTCTTGGAATGTTCAGATTTTGAGGTTGACACCTGGGAATTTCCGAGTTCGTCGGTCCAACGTGAGGCGTTCACAAGACCTGGCTGGACATGTGCTTGGGGCCCCTGACTTCCCAAGCCGGGCCTCCCGGATCCGCGCTTGGGGTCAGGTCTGGTATGTGGACGCCCGAAATGGACACGGAAAGAATGAGTACGATGCCCAACAGCAGTTCCTATTCATTTTGAACAGGATTCGCTGTCAACGCCGCCGCGGCCTGTGTCCATTCGAGACAGAAGGCCGCTCGCCCAACAGCGGCCGCTGTTGGTTTGGGACAACATTTGTTGTTGGGCATTGTACCCATTTTTTCCGTACCCATTTCGGGCGTCCAAATGGTAGCAAGCCCACGCACCTCTACCACGAGGCCGAGGGAGGAAGCGAGAGAGGGGGGGCAGGCCTTCGCAGAGGGCGTGAGGCCTCGGAGCAGGCCGAGGAAGCGCTTCGGAAGGCCAGCGGCCTCCGGAGCCTCCGCCTGCCCCCCCCGGGGGCGCGCCGCGGAGAATGCTCGAGCAGGCGATGCTGGGCGGTATCCTCGAGGCGGAGGACCCAGAGCCTGGCGCGCCGTGACTCACGGCGCGACAGCCATTTACGAGTTTTTTGCTGTTTTCTTCGTTTTTTTTTGTTTCTTCCGTTTTCGGCCCCGGAGGCCCTTACCGGGCCCCGGGACCGTCAAATAACGACTCGGGATGACAAGCCGGTCCGTGGGAAGGGGTTCAGCCCTTTGGGGTCCACGTCCTGAAGACGTCATGGCGCCGCGGGCTTGGGAGACACCGAGCTGGCATCGGTGACACATCGCCGATGGAGGCCCGATAGCTCACACATCCCACGAACGTGTCGATTCTCTATCGGGGGTAGCGCGCCGATCTATCGGCGATGCATCGCCGACTCCACTCGATATTCCCCCCCTTTTAGCCAGTCCCATGGTGGTTTTCGGGCCCTTACTGGAGAAGGGTCCATATTTCTGGGAATCCACGCCTTGACATTATATATCTCCTATGTATGTGTGTGTATGTGTATGTGTATGTGTATGTGTATACATACGTACATGGTACATGTATTCCCATATGTATGTGTATACATACATATATATATATGACTTTATACATTTTCGCATGTATGTATATGTATATGTATATGTACATGTATATGTATATGTATAAGTATATGTATATGTATATGTATATATGTATATATATGTGTGTATATTCATATATATATATATGTATATACATGCGCACATGAACTAACTATGTATATACTTGTGTCTATGTATGTGTATATAAATGTATATATACATATGGTTATGTATGTATATGTATACGCACGCATATTTATATGAATATGCACATGTATGCATATAGTTATATATGTATTCATGCGCACGTCTGTGCATATGTACATCTATGTATGTTTGTGGAAACATATGGGTCTATGCATACGTATATGCGTATGCGTATGTATATGCATATATATATATGAATTTCCTGTATAGGCACATGTTCAGGTACTTGTACTTGGATATGCGTATGCAGGTATTTACATATGTATACACAAAGGTATGTGTTCACGTGCACGTGCATTATATGCATATGTGCACGCACATGTATATGATTATATGTGTGCGTTTTTACTTTGTATATTTCTTTGCATATATATATATATATGTAGGTGTATGTGTATGCGTATGCCTATGCGTATGCGTATGTGTACGTGCATGTGCATGTATAGGCATGTATAGGTGTGTATATATGTCTATGTGTACGTGTATGTGCGTGTATACCACTATATATCTTTCTATCTATATACATGTGATGTTCTTATGCTCTTATATATATCTAT